TCTCTAGCCGGTACCTCTCAACCTCCTGCACAAGCTCAGGCTCCTTCCCCAAAAGCAAGGTGACATTCCATGTCCCCAGGGCTAGTCTCTATGTAAAGAGATCGGGTCGTCTGGGCCCTTGCCTTTGACCGCTGCCTGAACCACTGCGCACCAGCCCCTTATGGATCCTCCTGCAGGTGGTGGGCCCACGGGAGGACGTCCCCACTTCGCACGTTCGGGCTAAGCCCAGCCGGGCCCCGTGGGAAGAGGCCCGGGCACCAGGCGCTCACATTTAAGCCCCAACCCCGGGCCTGGCTCCAGGGTCGGGCCCCGGTTGCGCCATGCAGGGGCAACGTCACGGTCCTTGATTTTAATTTTTTCATAAGGTTTTTTCATAAGGGGTTCTTGAACCACTCTTAGTGTGACCGGTCACTTAGGGCCTGTTTGCCTTGGGAGACCCTACCTGGGGCATATAGCCCCCGACAACATAGCGCCTAAGATCATTCAGGTACTCAAACCCCTCCACCACGATAAGGTGGCGGTTCAAAGTATAAGGCAAGTTGAAAAATGACAAAGAATATCCAAAGAAATCCAAATCCTACAACTCTAATATAGCATGGACACACAAAAATCTTGGCTAAAATTTCCCATCACATTCTACATGTCTTAAAATTTCAACAACCAGTCTCCAAACTGGTGCTGAATAATACAAACTACATAATCTGTTGTACAGCAGAGAACTGGTTTTAAATACTGCTTTTAAGCTCTATCAGACTACGTCTGAAACAGAAAGAGGCACCTCCTCATTCAGTGAGTTTCTAGGAATTTATGTACAGTGTATTCTTTATGCCAGGAATGACCACTTTTACATATGTCATACACTCTCTGATCAAAAAACCTCATCTAGATGCGCCTGTGCCAAATAATTACTGGCCAAGTTTAACACTTCCATTTTTATTCATGATTCTTAAAAAGTTGTTCTCTTCCATGCTCCCATTTCAACAAATTCAGCATCCTGGACAATTTTCAGTTAGGTTTCAGGATAACTTTCTCTCGAGTATGACAAAAGACTTGCTCCTGGTTTTAGGTTCAGGTAATTACAATTTTAATTCTTTTAATTCTGGCTAATTCCTTCTAGGCAGTCATTCGATCACTGGCCCTTCAGCAGTATGCCTCATAGCTCCAGGACATGACAGTTCTGTTAAAACTGCACATCTCTTCTTCCTCTGCATCTGTCTCCCGTGGCTTACAGTACCAGAAGGCTCCATATTTGTTGTTTTTAAATGTGCTACATAAATAAACCAATACTTACTTTCTGTGTGTCGGGGTCTATTAACCAGTTCCAAGCCCCAGTAGCCGTACAAACAGACACCACTATCAGAATCACTGAAAAAAGACAAAAGGAGTGAGCTTCGGGGAATCAAAATGGAATGTGATTCACCAAAACCATATATTGTGGGTTCAAGATTGACTTAACAGTGACTGATGGCTTTTGGTGATTCTTTTGTTTGACTGTCATCAAATGTAGGGTTAAAGTCAATTATCTGAAATGTATATCAAGGTACCACATGAAAAACAACAACTTCTCTGTTGTGGTTTTGGTTTTTTACTTACTTCTCCACCTGCCTGTTGCAGGTTGCAAACAGGAGACATACTCTGTCAATCTTCTCTCAAAAGCCTTTAGGTCTGAAATAAAAATAAGCAAATAATAGACATTATATTTGGACTTGTTTGTTATGGCATAGCAACTTTGTTTTCAATTCAGTGAAATGCTCTCTCCCCTATAGCCTGCTCCATGACCATCTCCTACAGTGGAACCTTGGATTGCGAGTGTTTTGCAAGATGAGCAAAAAATTTAGATTTGACATACGAGCGAGGTCTCGCAATACGTAAGCTTTGTCTGCCGAGCATCACGTGACATACATCACAACTGAGCTGATGGTTCTTGCGCTTCACTCATATAGTCAATATCTGTACTACAACAATGGCCGCTCACGCTAGTCACAACTCTTTTCAAAGGTAAAGTGCAGGTTAATTTGTTTTGTTTTTACTTTGTTTTGTATTACTGTAATCATTTTTATATGAATAAGTGGGTGTGGAACGAATCAGTTTCCATTATTTCTTAAGGGGAAATTCGCTTTGATATACGAGTGCTTTGGATTATGAGCATGTTGCCGGAACGAATTATACTCGCAATCCAAGGTTCCACTGTATTTACATATCACTGAACAATTTGGGTATTCCCCCACCAATCACCAGCTGTCAATACTGAACAAATTGCTGCTTGGCACACTAGAACGAGGAGTAGAAGACGCCAAACCACACCAGGAGAAACCATGAGATATGTGCTTTAATCAAAGCATTTTCAAACACTGTGGTCTACATTTACAAGACAACAGGCTTTAAGGGTAGTGACTAAGTGGTTGGTTGGTGTATTTAAGGACAATCAGGATAAGGGTAATCACCTTTATTGGCCAAGTATGTTACACACAAGGAATTTGTTTCCAGTACAGAACAGACGGCGCCAACTCAACCAATGGCTTTGACCATCGAGGGGTTCAGTGTCTTGCCCAAGGACACTTTGACATGTGGACTGCGGACACCAAGATTTGAACCCTCAACCTTCCGGTTGGGAGACGACTGCTTTACCCACCGCACCACTGTCACTTCAGTGTCCCACTGCCCATCTCCAGGGGCTATTTCTTGCTGGAACAAGTCGAATCAAAATCTGGCACCACTCAAATTATGACCGGCACCTATTTTGATGCACCCAGCATTTCATTTACATAGCGCCCCGCAGCGGTGAATGATCATCTCATCAACGCTGGATTCCCCTGGAGCACAGCATGTTTGTTTTGACTGTTTGAGGCCAGTGTGTCTGCTGCATCTGATTTGGTTAAAGAGCAGGTTAATGGACTACGCTACGCATTGGAATATCACTACTCTGATACTGTAAGTGGTCATGTGGGGGAAGATGCAGCGCACACTGGTTGGATTTACCGACCTTGGATCTACTTGAAAAGGAGTGATATTTCCACTCTTGGGTCTTAAGGGTAACTTTAAAAAAATTTATAAAATCATTTACCCGCCTTGTTTAAACTGTTGCAAATCAGTACCATTGTCTACCTCTCTATGGAGGAGAAATCCAAAATTAATTTAATGCTATTGCAGTTCGTCCTGCTGTCTGCTTTCACATTCTGGTTTGAACATGTCAGGTAGTATTTGAGGTACTGTCATTGTTGAAAACATATCCTATTTGGCAACATTTTTGCTCACCCTCAGTGGTTGTGGTTAGGATTCAAAGTTGGGGAAACGCATTTCAACACAACACCAGCAGCAGGAGGTGTGCGCGTTCACAAACTATTCCCTAGTTTTAGGAAGAGACTCTCAGGTTTTACTGTTCTGAAATAGACTATTTGGAGTTATGATGGGTGGTAAAAATGCAATGGCTGGTAATGAGCATTGCATGGGCACTTTAAAGTGTTGCGGACAGCCATCTCCCTGCTGCCTCCTAGGTAAGGAGGAGACGGTCCCGAAAGGGGCCATGTCCCCTAGACAAACCTTTAAAAAGTTAAACAATCTTAATACAACTAATGTCAATATCTCCTCTAAAGGTTAGCTTGTCTCAGTAAACTCAAGGAAGATAAGCATGCATTGAGTAAATGCTGCTGTTAAATATCCAGAACATTTGTTATCGTACCATCATGATACAATACTTTTCTATGACATGACGAATTTTATTTTCCGGGACAATGCTGATTATTAAAGTTAGCTAATAACGATACAGTAGACTGAAAGTCTACTGTGAGATAAGCTAGCAAACATGCTAAGTGTCGTAAACACACTGACCAACTAACAGTGTTGCATTTTACTTTGGAAACACGGATTTTAAGGTTGTTTTTTTTGGCGCTTATGGCACTGGAGCTAAATCAAATCGACGAATATTTAAACATTGGGCAATCAGGTTTGTTTTGTGTATCGTTACCTTCGGCCTGCTCCAGAGAACTCATGCTTGCTAATGCCACCAGCTCGTAACTGGCTGTGTTGATGCTGCTTCCGGTCACATGAACGACACGCGGTATAGGCCAATCAACATAGAATGTGTGCTTATCTCTAACGTGATTGGGTATACGCCAACCAATGAGCAGTACAAAGAGCCAAAGTCCAGCCCTCTGGCCTGGAGTTCTGTATACCAGAGGGTTCCAGACAGCCCGGAGCCTCCTCGTTTATTAAAAATAAAAGTATATAAGTATATATTGTCTTAACTTAACATTGCCTGGTGTTTTACCATAACATCAACAGATTTACTATTTTACAGGTAGCACTCGTCGTGAAATGTTGCATTCGTTCTTCGTATTTTCATTTTTGCCATCACTCCGAATATTGCTGTCATTTTTCCATAATGTATGATTGCAGAATTTTACAGCATGAATGCCAAACTGGCAGTAATATTGAGTTGTGTTATACCCCAGTTCTTTTACTGGACAAATCTGAGTAAGGAAGGAGTCTGTCTTTCTTGATTTTAGTGCCGGTTTATTTACTATATA